ATTCGAGTTTAATAGATTATATAGTACGTATAAGAATCTCTTAGATATATATTATAGCGACTATAATATCTATAAATACTCTAAAAGTTATTTTAATATAATAATACGATTATTTAATAGTAATTAATTAAAAATACTTATCGCTAAGTTATAGATTTTAAAATACTTATCTAATAAGTAATTTTATTAATAGATTAAATAGATATATAAGTAAGAGCAGCGCTCGCGAAAATAGTTACCTCTATTAAAACTTTTATAAATTCTAGATTCTTTAGTTATAACGGGCTTATTAAGGCTAGACGTATCGATATTTAACTTACTATTACTTATATAAGTTTCTCTAAATATAAGAAGATTTTTATAGCTCTAATTATTCGCTTTCTTAGATTTTAAAATTATCTTAGCTATTCTAAATATATATAATAATAAAAACGAGATAATAAGTAAGAATAAAATTAAATTTATAGATAAGAGGTAATTATAGTAGACGAATAGTATACGTATAAAGAATCTTATTTAAATCTTTTTTTACGTTTATATAAATAAAGCGACTAATAACTATTAAGTATATAAGAAAGTAGTATATTATATAATTATAGCTATTAACGTTCTTATTCTCTTTAGTTAAGATAATATATATATAAGCTAGTTTAGCGAAGTTTTTAGTCTTAAAGATCTCGAAAAAGATTTACTTAAAGTACTTAATATTTATACTTCGAAACCTTTTAGTAATATTAAGAAAGGACTTCTTATCTTTTAAGTAACGAAATAGAATTTCTCTTCTTTTCTCTTAATTCGACTTAGAGTTAAACGAGTTTAAATTCGATATATTTAAGTAACGATAATAATAACTATAACTATAACGGTAATAATAGCGATATAACTTATAAACTCGACTCTTATAATAATAACGATAATTTCGCTTCTCTTAGATCTTAAATAGCTAGACTATTAATTTTATAAGATCTACTTTAAACCTCTTAATAGGCGAGAGTATTTTATTAATCTTATTTAAAGTAATAGTTTTTGATAGCGTTTCGAGTATAATAATCTCGTCGTAAAGAGGAGATATTTTAGTCTTAATAGTCTTTTTAGCTTTAAGGGCCTTAGAGACCTTATTAGCGGCGTTAGAGATTTTTTTAGTAATTTTAAAGACGGATATAACTCGTATAGTCGCTTTTTTAAATCTAATAGTAGTAGCGGAAGTTATTATAAAGTATATAAGAGTATAAAGTATACTTATAATAGTTAAAGACTAATATATATAAACTTAACTACGAAAAGAAGAAGAAAAATAATATGACTCTAAAAGAGATAAAATCGAATAAAGAGTTATTAATAGATATAAAATAGATAACTATATAGCTCGTATTAAATATCTATTCTTAACTTCTTATTAAGATATTAATAGAGATATTAATAAGAATATTAATATAAATAGCTAATTAAATAGCTATTAACGCTATAGTCTTATAATAAACTTACTAACTTATAGTTTTATTATTATAAAATTTAATTTTATAATATCTTTATATATATTAAAATAAAAGAAAATAATAAATAAATAAAAATAAGTAAGTATATTAATAAGAAAAAGAATTCTTATTTTATATATATACTAATATATAGAATAACTATTAATATTTACTTCTAGAGAATTTAAATTTTTTTTATCTCGAAATTATCGTTCGAAATTATTATTCGAAATTATTATTTAAAATTATTATTCGAAATTATCGTTCGAAATTATCGTTTAAAATTATTATTTAAAATTATTAATCGAAATTATTAATTGAAATTATCGAAATTATAGCTACGATAATTTCGAATAAAAAAAATCGAAAATTTTAAGTTACTTAAATTTTTACTAAGAAATAATTATTTAAAATAATTATTAAATTACTTTAAATTTAAATTTATTAAATTTATTAATTAAATTTATATATATAGAGAATATATTTAATATAAATTAATAATTATTCTCTTATATCTATAAATCTAAAAAGTAAATTTCTATACGATTTTCGTCGAGTTCGTATTATAAGTATAATTTAATTTATTAAGTAGACTTTATCTATATTTAATTCTTTCTATTAATTTAATAACTACTCTAATTCTTTTCGTTAATTCTATAACTTTAAAAAATTTTAATAACTTTAAAAATATTACGTAAATTATTATAATATACTATATATATTAATCTATATATATATTATAATTATATATTCTATTTATTAACTTAAGTTATATTAGAATATTATCTACGCGACTAATTTTATTAAATCGTTTAATTTCGTAGTTAAATTTAAGTTAGCGTTAATACTCGTTATTATAAAATCTTATTATCATAACGTTAATTATTAGAACTTTTCTTTTTTTATATATATTACTACTAAATTAATAGAACTAATAAAAAAGATTAAGATAGTTATTAAATCGGCGAAATTTAGATAGATTCTAATTAGAGTTACTAATTCGACGAATTTTATAATTTTCGCGATATACGCGCGATTAGTAATTTTAAATTTTATAGAAACTTTTTAGATTTATAGATGTAATAATAATAACTATTCTTAAAACTCGAATTTTTCGCTATAATAAATATTCTTAAAAAATTCGCGATATTTTATATTTTTATAAATTATTAATAGTATCTCTATAGGAGTTTATATTTAGATTTAAATAAAGATATCTAACTTCGAGACTTAATAATAAGCTCTCTATAAGAGTCCTACGAAGGCTCTATAAGAGATATTATTATAATATTCTTCTATTTATAAAGCGAAAATATCGAATTTCGATATTTAATAATAGGGGGTAGGGCTTAAGGTCGGGCTTAGCGTAGGTCATTATCCAGCCGCGCCTGGACGGTTACCAGACCCCGTTGAAGGCTATATTCTCGTTATCCGATTATAGACGTTAAGCTTAAAATGCGTGTCAGCGCACAGACGTCTCAACAAGATGTTTCATTGGTCGCTTTGGCTCTTTCGTGATGCAAAACACCATCGAACCCATCACCCGGATTGGTGACACTTAGTTGTTACACGTCCTGGCAACCTTGGTATAACTGTTGCTCGGCATAGAACGTAAGGCGTGCTTTTTTGCAGAATTTTCGAGTAAATCGTTCACCTTCTAAAGTGCAGTCACCAATTTATAGACGTGCGTAAATGAGAAAATTGCGACATCGAGGATCTTCCCACAGACTCACTCACTGTCAGATCATACCAACTTATCAGCAAAGGGTTGTGATGTTGGCAAGGAGTCCCTGCCTTTTGCACCACACCAGGGCGTGGAAGCGGCCACACCTAGAATCCAGGCCAACCTTCTTGGAGTGGTCCTATTAGATACCGAATGGGAAAATTTGTGGGGCATATGGATGAGTTTTAGATCTGGTTGCCTGGTTGCCTGATAAAGGGATTCGCGCCCACCCATCTGGTTAGGGCAAAAACCAGCGCACTAAGACCAATCGGTAAGCTTGTCTAGCCGTCAGGTGCTTTGAATCTCTCTCTACGCGATCCAGCATGGCTTCGCAAGGCCAAGATAATCGAATAATGGAAGATTGTGGTTCGTTGGCTGGGAGTCGGTCGCTTCGAGAGCAGCAAGAATTAGGTGACCACTCGATTAGGTTGAACGATGGGATGCAGTTTGAGGGTGTGAGTGATATCTCTGATTTTGACTGAGAAATTAAAAAAAGTCTGGACAGCGATGTCAAGGAGTGGATGAAACAGAAATCAAGTCTCAAAGCAAAAGATCTATGCGTGCGAGGCTGGTCAATGATGGCCAAGCGGCTGGACCAGAAGCATTTTAATCAAAATGGCTCCGTCACCGTCGGACTCCATGGGCCAGTCATAGCCAGAGAGAGGATATGTTTCCAGGTTGGATGCATCATCCATGGACCCCTTTTTGTTCTCTGGTTCAAAATTCTGCACCTCTGATCAATCAGCGTTAGTGTTAGTGTTGGTACCTCGCGCAAGGTGACCGTTGGCCCGAGCTGCTAGTAATTTTTAAGGTGTGGTGTTAAGAGTCCGGCCTTGGCTCAGAGGTGGACGCCCTATGCACGACGATCCTTCGCCCCGGACCTGCATAAACTAAGAGTGCTGGACCGTCGCGGTTGGTTGCGCGCAAAAAAGCCCCTCACTGCAAACATTTCAGCGGGCGTCACACTGTGCAGTTGGACTTTGAACGGTGGGCCATGCTTAAGAGTCCAATTGCACTGTTCGACGACCAACATACTCAATAGAGTCGTTTTCCTGCAGCTAGAAACCCAACACTGTGGTTCGGCCCAAACAACCTCCGGGTGCGTCATTGTAAGAGAGGGGCAACGGGGAGGTTTCTAGCCACATCAACAACTGCGCCTCATCTTTGCACCAATCCGTATTCGTGCATTTGCCAAGACTGGACAGTGGGGCGGGAGGGAGAATTGGGAGTATTGTGTGCTCAAAGAAGAAAGTCCAGCAGGTTAATCGGAGTCGGAGATAGGAGGAGCCGAATCACCGAATCGCTTGCTGCGCAATCTTGAGATCGTGCTCATGCACGCGCGTTAGGACCTCAACCATCTACCAAGAACAACGGTCTGTTGCTCTATGAAAGCCAAACATAAGACGAAGTGGTAGTTTATCTAGGAAAAGAAGTTGAAGGAGTTCGGCGAGGGCGGCTTTCGCTTTCTTTTAGCTGCGCACAGGTTCCCCACGCTAAGCCCGGTCTGGACGGGCGTTCCCAGGCTCGTGGTCTGACATCGCACACAGTGCTTGTCGCAAGATCAGCCGTCATAACGTAGTAGAAATGATGAGCTGCAGGTTCATTAATCTCGAGACAATAGGCTAGCCGAAGGAGCGGATGTAATTGGCTAGAAGCTCATCGATTTGGCACATCTAGGAGAAAGCGCAACCGCAGTCTAGTGGGCGTAATCACTCATCTGAATTTCTGGATGTTTGTGGGTATGTTGGATCGAAGGCTATGAAGCAGGCGAGGAGATGATTGGGAGACTGGACATACGCATAATGCATGTCATAGAGCTGTAGCCGAGCGGAGTCCAAATGTGTTGCTAGCCTATGTTAACTTCATGCCCACTCACTTGATTATGCCCTTAGAATCATACCACCTCTCAAACGCTCAACATTCCTGATGTAACACTACCTTGATTGTACCCAAACCAAACGAAGACCGTTGAGTGCAAAATTTGAGATACCAAATTTCCGAGTACCCGAAGGTGGGGTGGAACGGAACTCCTTCGCACCAAGCCATACCCACTTTCCAACCATCAAAATCGATCCAAGTCCATTCACTCACTCAGAGGAAGCTCTTGTATAGTATTGAGGAATACCTCCGCCGCCTCGCACCACCCGCCTCCCGACCCCATCAGCTACGTCAGAGCTCAGCCTGGAGCCTGTCGTCTCCGCACACCGCTACTGGTTATCAGACCCATACTGTGAAGCAACTGAGAATGCCGTTAGTTGCCACTGTTGTTTTTGGCTCAAGCACTCTCGCTGACAGTCTCCTTCGCCTCCAGGAACGGCACTGAAAGTTCCCGCCAGACGACCCATGCCCTTCCACACCTTACTCGCCCAAAGACGTATCAGCTAAACGCCTGGCTCAATAAAGCAGAGACACATGAGCAAGCCGTGGTGGGAGAAAAGACCTCGCGGAAATTCGCCAAGACCATGAACTTTCTTGAAGAAATGGAGAGGAGGGTGGATGGCCATACCAAATGAAGAGTGGTTGCGTGAATGGCTTGAGACAGGGTGAATTTGATTAGGCAAAAACACGTTATGAGAGTTGGATGGATACGAATTGGGACGGAACAAGAAGATTGATGACTGGCTTGGCGCTGGGCACTGGAACAATGCCACTGTCATTACCGCCTCTGTAGTCGATGCACTCGAGCTTCCTGATTTTCGATGGGTTGTTGTGCTGGAGAGATAGACATTTTAGTGGCTAGCTATGCAATTGAAGCCTAAATCTATGTCAGCGTCAATCCTTTTAGTTGCCCACGTCGTACCATGAGGTTCTCTCACCTGCGCCTTCGCCTCCTTCTTTCCTAGTGTGGTTTGTTCTTGATATATTATCGGCCTCTGACCACAGCTTGTCTACTCATACAGCTTTTGATGGTGAGCAACGATAGGTGTGGTGTCGTAGGTAGACAGATCTCAGTACCTTGAGGTAATCCATTCGCCATAGCAGTTGGACAAACCAGGCAAAGACAGCATAATGGCTTGTTGAAGCATTGGGGCGAGATTCATCTGCGCGAACTGACCCTGAGGTGGTCAACCATCTCCAACGAAAGGACACGAGATCATGATGAAGACACGGCAGTCATTTTGGCAGCAGAGGTGCAGTTGGAACCCGAGTGCCGCTGTGGCTCCCCTGGTGGCTGGTGGCTCGAATGAACGCCACAGCAGGCTCATTAATCTGCGTAACGGCTAGAAAGAAAGCTGTTCATGAAACCCAATCAAAACTCGCGATGGTATTACTAAGCAGAATTTTGGCTGCTGGTACTTCTGCACTTTATCTGACCAAGCTCAAGTTGGCTGCTCCGAAGTGGAGAATTTGCTACATCATTATTACCTCCACACTTTTACAGGTACATCAAAGATCATTCCTGAGATTGATACAATTAACTGGACTGTGACATCTATACTCTTTACCTGGAATTCGAGCTCTTTGTAGGTCTTTGCTAGTCGTCGCACGGCAAAGTATTTTGGTCGCAGGTCCTGGCGCTTTCACGGATAACAACAGTGCTTCCCACAGAGCACTTACTAGTCGCGGCCATGCGACACCTACATCAGAAACTTACCTGCACAGCCAGCCCAAGCAGATGGACTGAACGCGTATCCCAGAGCCAGCATCCACGCTTGGCCAAAGCACGTCTGACATCTAAGTAGTAGCGCGCTCACAGTATTAACATCGTCATATATAACAAGATTTACCATCAAATGCAGCCGAGGCTGTGAGAGCGCCCCGTTTTGCAAAGAAACGTCTCGACTCACGGCTTCGTTACGTCCATAAGAGACTGGACGGCATCTTCGAAGACGAAGAAATCAAGAAGAGACTTTCTGGCCGATTGAGGGTTTGCCGGTAGACCAGTTTCTTGGATGAATCACGGCTGGACAGATGTCCTGTCGATCGGACGAAGCCACTAGGCGGTGCCCAAGAGGACTCCAATCTTAGCCAAGGTAGTCACTTTTGGCATGAAAGCCCGCTGTTCCAGTGTTCACTTGCAGGAGAATCCTGGGTAGAGTTCCGATGCATGGCCCAGTCTTGGCAAAACGACCCGAGCAAAGACGAGTTGAAAGTGGAGTCGGGCGTTTCACAAGAATCGCGACCGACAGTCAATTCTGATCAACCAGAAACTTGGGTTCAAAGCTACAACGCGGTAAGCTAATATATTTGAGCGTGATCGTGCGACCACATTGTTGTGATAGATTGCTCCAATAATACAAAGATCTCGAACGGGTCCTTCATAGTGCTGCTGTCCTTTCAGAGTCTGTTGCTTACGAGAAACACTCTGAGCCCAATCATTTCAAGTGATTGCTCCGCATCCATCTCAACAATCATGCATGCCACTGCGCTTTTCCTCGCAACCCTCTCCCTCGGTTTTAACACGGCAGTCAGCAGTCCGGCACCGACCTCAGCTCCAGCTCAGAATGCCACCCAGCAGAGTCCAGCGGGGCGTTAATCACATCAACCTGCTACTTGAAAAGCAAAGCGGGTAATATCAATGGGCCGAAAGCCCCTCCTACCCCAAGTTGCCAAGTAGACATGTCGACAGTCGTAGGTTCACCCGCATCCCTATTCGTCTCTGCTCCCACGCCTGAGCTGAAAGTGCACGGGACCTGTCCTGGATCCCCTCTCGCCCAAAAACAACTGCATCATACAAACAGAGCTAACCGAGACTTGTGTGGAAACGAACAGATCACTTGCGGACCGACCTTTGTTCCAGTCACCACTGTTGTGGAACTTGGCTACTCGACGAGCTGGGGGAAGACCACCGACACCGCGAAGCCTGGACCGACCCCAGCTGTCTACTGGACGGGCCAGTGGAACACGGCTCTGGTGTGCGACCCAGGAGCAAACGGTTACCCGAATGGGAATCCCCTCTGGGCGGATTCAACACTGTGTGGCTAGATTGGTGAAGCAGCAGCGTGCTGCGATCCGAGTGAGTTGAACAACTCAACCAGATGTGTATGAATTCCCAAATTATTTCAATCTCCCCCCGTCTTCGGCCTGCTGCGAACAATCACTCGTAGCGGTGAATTTACAGCTTAGTCGGCCAGACATCGAGGTTCTTTTCTTTACGATGTCGCAAATTTGGAGTTCTGGCACCGAAGGCTGACACCGTCATACACTAGGCTCCTCCCTCTCTCGATGTCTACGCTTCAGTGCCAGGGTTCCTGCGATGATGGCCAGGAGCTCAGTCGAGCGGCAAGGATGACTCTGCCCAGATAGTGAAATGGGGGTTTCGAGGGTGTTTAATCAGGGGAGACACTTCCATGGTTTGTCACTTGCTGGCTGTTGGAAACATATCAGGCCGAATCGTACTGTACTCAATAGATGCTTCGAATTTTGCACACATTCGGGCATTGCTACTACTTCTGCCACTGTCATCTTGTTAAGAAACCCCAAAAGGGGGGATCAAAGCGTTTCAGGTTTGACGAAGAGGTGAATGATAGCGATAGGCTGACCAGAGGCTCAACGGCAACAGCCCGAGATGAGCGATGTTGACCAAATCCCGTGGCACAAACGAGACCAACCGCATCTTGGCGTCTGACTGCTTTTGCGGATAATCTATTTCGAACATCAGCGTTCTGCCGTCAGATATTGCGATTTGCACATCACTAGGTATGCGCATCTGCGAAATACGATGGTGATTGATGATGGATTCGTTGGGGCTGTGTAGGGAATTTCGCTCATTCGTCTTAATGTGGGTGCAACAGCTAGACAGTGTGTAGTTTCCGGTCCGGTACTGGTAGTCCTGACACATCATTCATGAACTGCGTCGTTTCGTTCCGCCTTTGACGAGAAAAGGGTGTTAAACCTCTTTCCAACCACTCCCCCCACCCAAATCCTGCACCGATCGCGACAGGCGGCAACCCAGCCATCACCGTCTCCTGCGGCACCGACCCTTCTATCGGCAGAGACTCGTGCGCACGCGGCCGCGCCGGCGGAAAAGCGCTCAACGATAACACTGACTGTGAAAAAAAAAACGCGCCTGTGTCCGCCTCGGCAGTGTCATGACGGGCGCGCTGCCGTAGCCCGCGGGCAGCGAGTGAACCACGCATCTCGAAACCGCCGGCCCGCGGCGGGGCTAGGATGTGTGTTGGCGACGGAACGGGGATTCTTAGACGTCCTTATTAATTGTTTGGCGGAGATGTTTAGTTCGTATTAGGTTCGATTCCTAATGGCGCTGGTACGATGGTGTTGCGGTGCTTTTTATTTTCTTTTATGAGTTTCAACACTTTTCAAAAGACCGCTAGACCGAATGAAGCAATCCGACCTCGTGAGCTTTGAAACTCGTGTTTTGCTTCCATCTCGTCTGTTCTCGAACGTTTGAGTCTGTTTGGGGTGTTGCGCCACGCCGCGATTTCTTAGGTTTTATGCTTTTCTTGACACTTTTCTTTACACGCTAGGCTCAACAGGGGTTTCGTGAGCATGAGCGTTGAATCTCGTTTAACACACAACTAACTTTCCCACAAGCGCTACGCTAAACTCAATAGGGGTTTCGTGAGCATGAGCGTTGAATCTCGTTTTAACACAAAACTTCTCTTCTTTACACGCTAGGCTTAACAGGGGTTTCGTGATCATGGGCGTTGAATCTCGTTTAACACACACGCGGGTGACAGAAGTCGTTGCACACTAGCCCTAATCTCCATTTGGGGCTAGTGTGCAACGACTTCTGTCACCCGCGTGACACACAACTTCCCTGTGGTTGGAGGTATTTAGTTCGTATTAGGTTCGATTCCTAATGGCGCTGGTACAATGGTGTTGCGGTGCTTTTTATTTCTGGCAGCGCCATTAGCCACAGGTTTTAAAGTTCCGTCGAGCGGTGTTGGCGAGGGCTTAGGTTCGAAACCCGTGCGACGCATTGATTTGTGAAGCGAAATGTTCCCCGTTAGTCATAGTCCGGGGGCGGACACCTGTTGGTTGTGGTCGTGTGGTTGGAGGTATTTAGTTCGTATTAGGTTCGATTCCTAATGGCGCTGGTACAATGGTGTTGCGGTGCTTTTTATTTCTTTCCCCACAAGCGCTACGCTAAACTCAATAGGGGTTTCGTGAGCATGAGCGTTGAATCTCGTTTTAACACAAAATCTCCCCCTAAGCGCTACGCTAGACTCAGTAGAGGTTTCTTGATCATGAGCGTTGAATATCGTTTTAACACAATATTTCCCCCAGGCGCTCGCTGAGTCAGAGATCATCTGACACCTGTACAACATAATGCAGCAGAGAGAGAGAGAGAGATGAGATGAAAGGAAACACGGAATTCAAGACTGGCGATGTTCAAAACTGACTGTGTTGAAAATATCGATTTGATTTTGTGTTTGATGAGGACGTATCAAAGGCGGACGACTGAGCGCGAGGAGAGCATTATAGGGTGAAAGGAAAACACGGAATTCAACAGCGACAAAGCGCCCTCAGACTGACAGCAGAAGTGTTGGACATCTTGTCCACTTTCGACACTTGTGTTGTAAGCACTAGATCAAACGAGGTATACGAC